AATTTGAGAAAACAAAGGAAAACTGTTTTGATTCAGGGTTAAGCTACTGAATATAAACAAATTTTATTTTATTTTGGCTTTTTAGATGAAGATCATTAGAAGCCATTTCAGTGAAGGAGAAAACGCTATTATTATATACTGAGTCCAAATATGGGTCTAACTCAATTGTCACCAAAATTTGACTTACTGGGTTTTTCCAGATTACAGGAGTACGATGTTTCAACCTCTCCGTACGATGAGATTTGTTTCATTTTCAAAGAAGGAGAAAAATCTATTTCATATACTAAGTCCAAATATGGGTCTAACCCAATTTTCACCCAAATTTTACTTATTAGGGTTTTTCAGATTCATGTACAATAATAATGGGTATACACCTTGATTCAGTGAGTATTCCATTAGGCCACTAATTAGAAGATCTCGGGGTTTCGCTCAGAATGGTACTTGGCATTGTTCGGAGTGGCTTCCCCTTGCCACTGGCGCAGACGGGTGGGACTTATTGGCTGCACGTATAATCTGTTGTCATAAGCTGTAGTCGAAATGGGACGTAGTCTAAATGGGAGGGTACTCACGTAAAGTAACCCTTGATCGTTGGAATTCGAAATAAGAGTAGGTCGTAGCGCCGCTTTCCGGGAAAAACTTTCTCAATATCACACTGCGTATTCCCGCCGTTATCATCCCAGTTGAAGCACAACAGTCGCACGTTAAAGGGACAATAACACTCTTGCTGGCTTGAAAGCTCCAGAAAATAAATAATATCTCTATCTAAGTACTAGATGTTTAAGTGTCCTACCTGTTGTGTAAATTATCCATTACATCCTATTTTACTTGTCCAGAGGGTTCGAAAATATTTTTAAATCCAAGTTTCATTTGAAAAGGTTTACGTTAGACGTTTCAAACCATTATGTTGAATTTTTCAAAATTTTTAAATAAGGTGTGTTAAGATGAAATTTGTATCATCAATTAATTGAAATATTGTAAAATAGTACAATTTGTTGACCAGAATAAAGATTGGGACATATTATTCTGTTACAACAGGAGTGGTTTTGTCCCTTTAAGCCCATGATTTATTTCAATTTAATTTCTGTAAATGCAACTACAAAGACACACGAGGTGCAGCAAGTGCGCCGATCTCATCAAAGAAACCGTAATGATTGTCGACGTTTAAAATCTAAAACTAAATATCATCACCGAATGTCTCTGACGGCACTATAAATCTTATTAATGTAATTTTTCCCGATGAAAAGAAATTTTGAAAAAAAAGACATAAAACGATATTTTACATAATAACACGAACGAATAACTACTTTGTATAAAGTTTACGATTTTATCTTGGACGATGCGATTTTATCTCGGACGATACGATTAAAGTAAAAATTGACAGTTGCAATTTTCAATAAGTGGTTTGAATTGGTGTTTTTCACGAAAAATTACTTTGCAAAAGAAACGACAGTTGATGAATGTGAATGATAAAGTTCGGGGTTGTATCTTCAGCGATGCATGTTTAAGGCATGTAGTGAATTTCACTTCTAAATAAGTTCAGTGAATTGAAACGAAAGAGAGATAAAAATTGAATAAAAACACCCCCTGGTTACGTCTTTTCTGTATTTAAAATGTCTTCCTTTCGCACATTTCTTAGTACTTGGCCTCCCGAGTCTTGGTGGCATACAATCCAGGCGTTTACGCTGGGTATTACTAAACTCTTGCACATCAATGACTATATAGATCGGGAACCATACTAAACTTACGCAGGAATCATACTAAACTAATGCTGTCTATCTACAATAAGCTCCGCTTGAGAACAGACACTAAGCTAGTTGACCGACATTTTTAAGTCCTAAATGGACGATTTTAGTCGAAAACACTTAGTATATTTCGAGAACTATATATTCTGCTTTCATTGATAAAATTGAAAAGGTTTAATTAGTCTTTTGTGTGTATAACAGATGTGAACCGGAGCAGGTCTGCATTACAAAACTGTATATAAATTGTTGATATGTCGGCCATTTAATACAGAGATCTATTCTCGAAGTAGAGAAGATAGTTCTTTGTGTGCGAAATGAAATGAAATGAAATGGGATTTAACATCCTACTGTTCTGCTCCGACTGGGCTAATGAAGACGGCATACGCCATACAGTGTGCTATCAGGGGCATTTTGCTCGGGCAGCGGCACTATGACCTACTCTTATATCGAATTAGAATTGCCAAGGGACCTTTTACGTGCACGTCAATGTATACAAAATGTACACGGGACCTTGCCAGACCCTCCGTCCTGCACCACTGACAAGGGGAAACCACGTCAGAAAATCCCGATGAACATCTCGGCCAATGCAGGGATCGAACACGGGGCCTCCGGGCTAGCGAGCCAGCGTTTTACCCACTTAACCACCGTGGCAGAATAGAGAATGGACAAGGAATATATGCAAATACCTCACCCTTGCTATAACTAGGTTCTATGTCATTCTGTAACAAATAGACGAGTTAAGTCTATCTGTAAGATTGGGAACATCACACCACAAGTCTGTATGTAAATACCTCACCCTTGCTTTAACCGGGATCTAAGTATTTCTAAAAACACTGAGTAAACTGAACAGTAGCTTAACGAACAGACGCTGATTAAGCTCACAATTTACCCAGGACGTGAAGTTTTTCAATTCATTAAATAAATCCACGTGAATAAAATGAAAAGAAGATGTTATTCTTCGTTTGTTTTCGTTTTTTTTTCTCAGAAAGTCTACCATATATAACCCTAACCCTAACTTGGGTTTTTAATCTGTTATTGTTCTATATATTTCGTCTGTTTCAGAAAGTCTAACTTATAACCTGGATTTCTAATCTCGTATTGCTATATCTCACCTGTTTAAAGGCATTGATCTTAACGTTTATATTATTTCTATATATCTATATACTTAGCTTAATATCTACCTGGTTCAGTCGCTCAGAAATTGAATGAAGACTATAAAAAAAGAAACATTTCTAACAAATACCCTTCTTTAAGAAGAATATATAAATAATTCGCTCAGTTTTAGAAAGTCGAAGTCTCGTGTAAACTTCAAGCGAATCGTACATAACAAACAGAAACGCAAACATTCGGACAAGACACATCATACACGGGGCGAAGGCTGGCTGTAAGCCTCCACAGCGCTGTACAATCCAGGGCTTGCACTCAGAATGAACGAATGGGCTTTATAAATTTCATAACTTGATATAGTGTTCTCACTACAGCGTCTTATTCAGACTTTGTGAAGTCCTAAGTTTATTATATAAACCTTGGAGGGTCCTTGTTAAAAAAAAGAGTTACACTATAAGGTCTCACAAAGATGCGAAACAAAACAGTGTCCTGGATCATCACATACGATTGTAAAAGCATAAAAATCTTGCGAGGCCTCGGCGACGGATTAACCTCGGAGGGTCCTTGTTAAAAATAAGGTTACACCATAAGGTCTCACAAAGATGCAAAACAAAACAGTATCTTGGGTCATCACATACGATTATCGAAGCATAAAAATCTTGCGAGGCCTCGACGGCGGATTGTGTGTTGTTAAACTGTAGCGTGTTTGGATAATGATTGAAATCAACAATGGACTGCGAGTACAGGGCAGTTTTTGTTTCAAGACATCATTCATAAGACGCAACGTTCACATTCTGATGCTACAACTACATTTATTCATCATTATAAACGTTATAATCTAGACATCGTTTAAGGCTATTGTGGTAGCTTTGTGGATATGTTTTAGTATTCAGAAATGAATAAACAATGGAATTGGTAGAGCATGTGGTCATACACTACAAATATATATAAAAGTTTGTTACCAGAGAGAGAGAGAGAGAGAGAGAGAGAGAGAGAGTTTAACGTCCACTCGACATAAACTAGGTCATTTCGGGACTAACATATGGTTCATATTTATTTCAATAATTCGCTTGCGCGTAGGAGTCTTTAGAAGTGGGAGGAAACCGGAGGACCCGGAGAAAACCCACGAGGTTGGAAGTTTGTTACCAGTGTGAACACCTAAAATGAGAAGTGATACCAGGTATATTTAATCTCATGATTTATGTTTTAAATGCCCGTCTTCATTAGCCCAGGTTAGGAGCAGAACAGTAGGACGTTAAACCCCATTTCATTTCATTTCATTTATGTTTTAAATGGAAACTATTACCAAATTCTAATTCATATTTAGTCGGCTAGTATATACACCCAGTGCATAATAATACTAGACACTTTGTTTTCGTTTATCCAGCTAGATCGACTGTAATTCGCGTGGTAAACAAATTGTCTATTTAAAGAAATAAAAAGGGAGGTTTCTCTCGTTTCCTAGCTAATAGACAACGCAGTCACCCTGCTATGCGCTTTCTGCACGATAAGCGATACTATTTACGGATCTACCTGTATAAAAAGGAGTTAAAATTTCATCATCTTATCGCCGCCCTTCGTACAACTGTTCAACACTGCTACGCGGGTCCCCCTCTCTATTCCTGTTAAACAGTATAATAGCGTTAACAGGCATGCAGAACGTAGCCGGGTATAGCAACACACCAAAGGGTGTCAATCGCACATCCCTCATCCGTGAATGTTTATTGATTACATATTCAATATATCAACTATCTACTATCATATATGTCTATAATTAGAAAGTGGGAATTCGTCTGTCATTTATAGCTCTTCGTGTATTGCATAAAGAACTTCTTATAGCCATTTCAATTCATAGAAACGTTCTTGTATTTAAAATTAAAGAACCCCTTTCTTAGCATACGTGTAAACCGCTGGGGCTTTCGGTTATCCGATCTACAGATGCCAAAAGAAACTTTATTATATACATGTATACGGAAAAAAATATTATAACATCAATTCAATTTAAGTTTCTTTTTCTCAGCATAAATGTAAACCTTTATACTATGTTATACTATAAAATATATTCCAAGGGCAAAATGTTAGAACTTTCGGTCCTCCGATACCCCAAAACATATTTATGGATATTTTATAAAAAAAAATGAAATAACGAACCTGTATTGGCCGTTTTGCACAGAGATTTCTGCTGTCCTCATAATGCGCCCGCAAAACTGTAGGCTGACGTTATATCCATCCTAAGCGACAAGAAACTCCAATATAATTCCCTCACTTACATCCATAGATAATAATGATGAAGATATAGAAAACGTAACACAAAGTAAAAAAAAAAAACAACCAAAACGAAACGAAACAAAGAAAAATAACACAAGCACTGAGGTAAAAGTGATTCTAAAACCAACCGACTCGCGACACACCGAGAAAAACTTTAAATTCTTAATCGTACACTCCGACGATAAACTGAAAAATATCACTTATTTGTTTTTCTCTTGTCGTTCACAGAAACATATTTGTGATAAAACTCCTTTTTTTTTTATAAAACCCGGAGTTCACAGAAAAATATTAAATAAACATCCACTACTTAACTAGTAGTTATTTATAAGTATTTTACAAACTTTAACAACAAAAAAAGACGTGAACACAATTTTTAGCGGGATTACTTAGTCGTTCACAACCGTGTTCTAATCTAATCCATTTTAAAACTTTGTCCAACTAATACACTGGATTAATTCTGATTTTTCTTTATACCAGTCTATCCTTTATCGTCATCAAATTCGGAATTTTCTACACTAAAATTTATGATCATTACACCCCACCCAGGAACGACATTGCCGAGAAACTTTACAAATCGTCTCGGCGGACCCGGCTTAAGTCGTCTTAACCGCATAAGGGAACACCACACAGCTAGATGATAACCAAACTTAACCACACATTATAATTATCCATGTTCATTCCATGCAAGAAATCCTGGTAATCCGTTTGAAGTTTGAAATAAGTCTCCGTCAAGTAGAATATAACGTTGATTAATGGTAGTTCAACTTGAAATACGTCTAGGTGATAATCTAATTTGTGTTTTCATACTGAGTGAGAGACGAGCCGGCAAATAGAGAAAAAAAAAACTTTTGTCGATAAAAGTTGAGTGAGTTGTCGAGATTGGATATATAAATGGTAATATCCAATATGCTCGACTTTTAAAAAAAGATTACGATGTATATATCCACTAATACGTGTTTGAATAGGTAGAAGACGATACGAAGTATATACTTTAACTAACGTGTAGTCGCTCTCAACGATAACTATTAACTGGCGAAGTAAACCCGTCACCAATCTAGCGACACGATATGCCCTATTCACTGATTGGTTGAACAGAATAACAATGAAGACGAATGAAATGGAGTTAGTAGTTGGCCAGTGTCAGTTATTCTCTCGGTTATAATCTCTGTCTATAATTTACCGCCATATTTATATCTCTGGTATATTTATAATATTTTGTAACCATCCTGTTGAATATTTATCATTTAATTTACATATTATCTCAAACGTATTTTAGTTTTTGTCCGGTGACAGTTATATCAAGAGGGTGTATAATGGTCGGGTATCTGAGATATAGTTTAACTAATTGAAGTTTGTAAGACAATTCATATTATTATTATTCAAGGTAAATACTAAATATGTTTATTGCATAATTTGGAATATCATCAATATCATGTTATGTTTTTCTGCTGTGAAAGTTATTTGGGAGCCACTGTGGCTCGTTGAGTAAGACATTGAGTAAGAATTTCCTCGCGACGTTTCAGCGTGGTTTCCCGAGCGTAGTAAATATACCTTTACAGTTGGAATTTCGAATATAAGGCGACGTCCGTCAATATTGGACAGGTTGGTGCAGGACGTTGAACCGAAATTAAATGGTGTTTAACGTCCTACTCCGAACTGGGCTAATGTAGACGGGCATATGCCATACAGAGTGCTATGAGGGAAATTTTGTCCGGACAGCGGCACTACGACCTAGTCGTATATCAAATCGCAACTGCCAAGGGATCTTTTACGTGCACACCAATGTGTACACAGGACCTCGGTTTTTCGTCCCATCTGAACGACCAGAGAGCTGTACTCCGTCCTGCACCACTGACAAGGGGAAACAATATCGGAAAATCCCGATGAACTTTCCCGATCGAACCCGCGACCTCTAGGCTAGCGAACCAGTGTCTTACTCACTTAGCCACTGTGGCTCCAAGGGCGTTGAACCCCAAGTCGAACAGTCGGCGAAAACGCCCCTGTACGTACAGAATGCCACTCAGAGCACAATGCATGGCTTAGGACGCTAGACCACCTTTTCATTTCAGTTCACATTAGGGATTGTAACTCTCTCTCTCTCTCTCCCTCCCTCTCCCCCCCTCTCTCTCTCTCTCTCTCAGTTCACATTAGGGGCTGTAACAGAGAATAAACACCACTTTACACCATTCAGCTGGCTATCTATATGGTTAGCGCGTTATATTATAAGGTATGTCATTGAGTCAACTGTCGTGGTTTCGATTCTCCGGTTGTACGTGACACGGAGTGGGTTCGCCTGTCCAGCCTCGTGGGTTTTCTCCGGGTACTCCAGTTTCCTCCCACTCCTAAAGATCCCTACGCGCAAACGAATTATTGAAATTAAATTGAACCATGTTAGTCCCGAAATGGCCTAGTATGTGTCGAGTGGACGTTAAACCTCATCTCTCTCTCTCTCTCCCTCTCTCCCTCTCTTAGCTTACCCCTTGGATCGGTTACACCTAGCATTACATCTGCATATCATGAACACTCAGAACTGTACTGGGTTTGAATCCTGGGGTATGCCGTCGCAAAGAATCTCGAGGACCTTTTAATAACGGTTTCCACTTGTCCGAGGGTAGCGCCCGCAGGGCGAACAAGTACAGTGTCACCGTTTAAATATGACGAAAATCTGAGCCCCACCGTGTCCACGTAAAAGATTCGTTGAGAGTTGGTCGTTGGTGAAGGATACGATGTCCCGGCCAAATTGTCCTTCCTAGCTGCACACATGTGTCCACGGATTCATAATGTGTATTTTTGTATCATGGATGATCTGAAACGAAATGGTGTATATAACATCCTACGGTCCTGTAACGACTGAGCTAATGAAAACGATTCAAAGATGACTTGCACCCTAACAGGATCTGAACTGTATATTATATATATGTACATATTTTTGAAAAAAAAAACAAAAAAATCCCCAACAATTTATAAATGAACGGGTTCACGACATTGACATTTGAACACTTGACAACCATAATGCGTCTATTATTTCATAGTTGCTTCAACTTTTCTATTTTTGATACAAATAAAGGTGAAGTTCTTGGAAGGCGACCGGAAACAATTTCGTTTTTTTTTTTGTTTTTTTTTTTGCTTTATTTATTTTTTACAGAGGCGTATGCGCAGATTTGTCATGGATGATTTGCGGAGTGAAGCTTTTAAAACAATTTAGAAGTCATAGATGGTGTTAGATCAGTCCCCGAGTTCACAAAGCAAGAGCGAAATGGGGTTTAACGTCCACTCGACACAAACTAGGTCATTTCTGGACTAACATATGTTCAATCTCTGTTACCTACACACCTGGTGGGACTCGGTCGTGTTTAATAGTCTTATATGTGTTCATATTGGGACCAACGCGCGGTTTAAAGAGAGAGAGAGAAAGAGGGTTTAAAGTCCACTTGACACAAACTAGGTCATTTCGGGACTATAATATGGTTTTTAATTTTATTTCAATAATTCGCTTGCGCGTAAGGGTCTTTAGCAGTGGGAGGTAATCGGAGGACCCGGAGAAAACCCACGAGGTTGGACAGGCGACCCTACTCCTTGTCAAGTACAATTGACAGCAGAACAATAGGACGTTAAACCCCATTTCATTTCTGTATAATTCCATACATAATCACAAAGTGGGGTTTAACGTCCAAATGTTCTGCACCAGTTAATTACGACGGATCTCAGCCATGCAGTTTTGCGTAACACCTAATCTTTAGCGATTTCTAACTGTTAAGTGGGTCTTTAACATACAAGCTACCGTGGCGTTTCGTCCCATCCGCAAAACTAGACGTTATTCCTTGAGAGACCCCCCGTCCCGCACTACTAATCCCGAGGAACTTTCTCGGATCGAACACAGAATGTCATAGTTAGCGAGTCAGTGCCTTACTCATCGAGTCACCGTGGTTCCCCAAACCAAATACATATTAACAGAGTAAAAATTTAGAAAGGAAAAAGGCCATAACAATCTTCTATATACTAATATTTGTGACTGTCGTTTGTCTGTCTGTTTGTCTGTCTGTCTGTTCGGGGTTGGCGGCTACACTAGGTCTGCCCCGAGTCTGAAATTTCGGGTATAGGGGTAGCTCGGACCGGTGAGTAACATAGGCCAGGTGGCGTTAGTCTACCACTTCCGGTTTCGGGGTTATGACCCCCGAGCGAAGCCGGGTATCCTGCTAGTAAATTTTAAATACATTAAAATATATTCAATACGTACATTTATCCAGTCTTGGTTTCTGTTAATATATTAAGCATCGTGTGATTAAATTGACAAATAACAAGATGTTGTCATTGTTCTAAGTTCATCATACTGCTCCTAATCCAAAGGGCGAATTCGACATAATCTATTAAGAACAAGTGGGCGTGGCCCGTGTTAAAATACCCACAATGGAAAGTGGTTTTAACTGTTCCAGACAATGTTTCAAGGTTATTTTCCGAAAATAACAATATTTCAGGAATCACACAATCGCCAGGTTTAAGTTGGATAGCAAATTGTTGTCACTTCCAAAATTTCTTGAAAATATTCTTGAATGCCATTTAAGTATATATTTAAGGGTTAAGAACCACGTGTGTTAACATCAGGAGCACAAGTAACCCCGACAAAGAAATATTTGTTTCATTCTCCTCTATGTCAAATATGCATTATACAAGAGCTAAATCTGCCTATTGTATGTCTTTCTTTAGGTCTGAAATGTTATCTAAATTATTAATTGGACATTTATTAACTTATCCAAACCATAATCAACACTCGATGGCATCACTAGCCTGCGATGTTTATTGTATTAGGTTCCGATTCATAGTGGATCAATTTGACTGGAATTTTCAGCAAATTCCCTTGACAGTATCTCGCTTTTAACTATTATAGTGAGAACTGCCAGTATTTTCTGTATATATACATTTTCAGCTTGACATTAAAATTCTATTTCACAGTGTTCACCTTTTGAAATTATGAAAGTTATCCAATAAATTTCACAATTTGTCGATGACTAGTAAATGTTATAATCTAATTGAATTAGAATTTTATACAACAACATGCCATGGGTGATGTGGGGTTATTGTATACGTACTTCACAATAATTGGATATTTATATCTAATATTAAAACTGTACGAAATCACACACATACGAACAACACTCTGTAAACAACATTTTTAGGGTGAGTACAACTAGATATTATGTTAAGGTGTTTACGTAAACCCTCCAGTTAACTAACCCTATGATAACTAACTTCAACAGTAAAATATCCATACATTACAGTCCATCCAAATATCAAATCAAGTATTCAGCTCCTTACAATATCACAAATTATTTAAACTGAACCTATCATCAAATTGAAAGTGGTATCACGTGTTCTAGAGATAATATCACGGTCAATCCAGACATAAAATTATTTAAACTGAACCTATCATCAAATTGAATGTGGTATCACGTGTTCTAGAGATAATATCACGGTCAATGCAGACATCAAATTATTTAAACTGAACCTATCATCAAATTGGAAGTGGTATCACATGTTCTAGAGATAAACGATATAACGGTCAATCCAGACATCAAATGAGGTGTTCTAGGGAAGGAATTATTCACACTGTGAATCGATAACGATAAAGATCCACACCTGTGAACTGCTCGAACGGGAAGTGATATCAGGCATTCTAGAGACTGCAATATCACAGATTTAAAGCTGTTAGTTATATGAACTCGTCCAATGAGAAGTGGTACTAGATGTTAGCTATATGAACTCGTCAAATGAGAAGTGATACCAGATGTTAGCTATATGAACTCGTCAAACGAGAAGTGGTACCAGTTGTTAGCTATGTGAACTCGTCAAATGGGAATTGGTCACAGAAGTTTTTCAGGGTAATCAACTCATCACATCTTATCACAGAATCTGTAAAACAAATTCCACGGTCGATCGCAACCAGTTGTCGTATGCAATCAGTTTACTACTAGCCACAAACTATGAAACGACGTATCCGATGTTCTA